TAACTAACAGAACTATTGGAAAGCAAATAATTACCTAGCAGTAATTCTGCCCAGAAGACCAAATTGAATTATTAGCCTTCACTCAAGTCATGGAATTAAGTCAAGGAAAGAGTCAACATTTATATGGACTCAAGACATGCCTTTGCAATAGTTCATGCACATGGAGTGATTTAGAAGGGAGAGGACTTCTAACTTCACAGGTGTCGTGGTTTAAACTCTGTCAGCAGGTCAGCCACACAGTCTCACAGGCCCCCACCCCCGCTCCTGGAGGATGGGGAGGAGAATTGAATGGTTCCTTTGTTGAAATCTGATTTACATAGTCTTGTGGAGACTTGGTATTTGGAGGAACTAAAAGAAGACAGACATTTAAGTAGGGCTAAGAGGAGTACAATCTTTAAGATGTAAATCTAAATTGAATGATTTGATACAGTAGAGGCCATAACACCTCTGTTCTGAGTTACAGCATGCTGTTGTAGAAAGTTGTCTTGAATATGTAAAGTGGCTGGCATTCTTCTATATTTCTACAAATACTGTTTCAGTGGCTTACTAGCCATCTAGAGGGCAGGGTGGATTTGAAAACGGAAGAAAGTGGAGGTAGGCAGGAGTTGTTACAGGGAGAGGAGTCAGCTAATAGTTAATGTGTTTGAATGCAGAATCATAGTTTCAGGAGTTAAAAAACTTGATCTTTTTTTTCTTGGATCAGTTTTCACAGGAAATTTCTTGAAATTTATTTGTTAACCATCTTTCCTGGTATTCACAGTTATCCAATAAAATAAAAATAAAAGTTTACCTACTTTATCTGTTTCTGTAATGTCTTTATTTCAGGTTTGAAATTTAGTATTTTGTCATTTGAAATGTCCAGCAGTACAAATGCAGTTGTAGACTAATTCCAGTTACACACTGGTCTTCACAGATCTCAAACCTTGACTTGTGCATTAAGTTGGGGAAAGTAACAGAAATTATAGCCTAAATTTATATTCTCAGGATTTGTTTGATGGTTCAGCTGGCTTGGCAAAGTGAAATGCACGGAGACAGATCACAGTAACAGGGTAATATGGTTTGGCATCAATACTTGAGGGCATGGTCTATATTTCATTCACTTTTCTTTGAGACAGCTCTTAAATTATCTACCAAACCCAAGAAAACAGTGAAAGTGTGAAGTACAATCCAGAGGATTCATTTTTGAGGCTCTACCATTCTTAAATAGTCATAAAATGGTTTGTTCTCATTACCCATAATGAAGAAACTGTGTAAAGGGTGCCCAGTTGCTACTAAGTAAGCCTTTACTGAATAGCAAAAGGAAGTATTTTTTAAAAGGAGAACATTAAATGGTGAAGACTAAATACTAGTGATAATATAATAGTCCTGTGCCAGCCTTATAAGTACTTAAATAAATCAGACTGCGTAGGAGCTGAATCTCATGTTCCTACAGATTTTAAATGTCCTTTACTCATAACAGTGATTTTATCTGATGATTTATTTTTTTAAGCTTCAAAGGCTTGTATGAGAACTAAGCCACCAGACCTAGATTCAACGTGAGTTGTTAACAGACTGGCCAAGCCATAGGTTCAGTCATGTTACTTAGTTTTCTCAGTCTCAGTGATTCACAGGAGACTCATTGGGTAATTGCTTATTTTGAGTGATATACAAAGAATGCAGCCTAAAGTTAAATCAAAACTATTGCAAAATCATTATTAGGGGGCAATGTTTCTCTTATTTGTTCAGGTGCCATTATCAAAAAGGCTTATTTTTCTGCCTAATTAGTACCTCACTGTTAGGGTGAATTAGCCTATGAGCTGATCAAGAAATGGGATTTCTTTGGCCTTGGTTATTATCTCCAGTCTGAGGGAGTAGTTCCTGCCTCTCTTCTCACCCGAAATGGAGATGCCAATGAAATAGTAAGAAGTATTTGTGTTGGAGCTCAATAATATTCTCTTAAGAAAAAAAAAATAAAAATTGGCAGCTACCTATTCAGAGTGAAAGAGCACAAAATTTACCACTCCTCTCCATGATGCTGTCACTGCTATTGCTGGTTTGCACAGCTTTTTAATTCATCTTTTAAGAAAATAGTAAACTAAGAATGTCAACAGCTGTTATAGGATAAATTACTTTTAACATTCAGAGTTGTTTTCTGATTTTCCAACTCTGGGGAATTTAAATGACAATGCAAGTGAATAATGGGAAAGCCTGTATCTAGCTGCTTACCTATTGTCCTGACCCTGAGCCTGTGTTGGAGGATATGTATTTCTTCTGAATAGATTTCTTCAGTTTTCTCTTTGGGGAATACCAATGATACATTCCAGTATCACTGGTGTGTTCAATATGAACATATGTTCATATTGATATGCTCAATATTGTAATACCAATGATACCAATGAAACCTCTTCCATTCATGCTGAAGAAATTAAAGATATATCTTTAGCCAGCAGAACCAGGTAACTTGCATCCAAGAAGTTAGGAGAAAGATCCTGTTGAAAAATCTTTATAACCAATAACTGGAAAAGTTTAAGGAGAACGCTAATGTGCCAGTAGTTAAAAATAGAGAAGGGATAAGATGGGTAATTAAAAACCTGTCAGCCTGACTTTAATCCCAGGAAACTATCAGAACAGTTAATACATGCCTCTGTCACCACGTAGAGAATTAAAGGAGGGAAATATCATGAATGCAACCAAAAATAGGTTTATGGAACATAAAGTCTGTCAAATAAGTGCCCATAGAAATGTGAGTAGAAATCAGTACTGGGATTGCAGCCAGAACTCAGCTGCCCTCTTCCCCGGAAAGCCGCTTGCCCTGGGCCTGGTGAGCTTCCAAATCCAAACAAATGGCACTGAACCCCTTTCATTCTCTTGCTCCTTGGCTGACCAGTCTGGGAGGTGCTATTGCTTTCTCAGGTGTCCCCACCCTTGCCACTAACACTCCCTGAATGTCCCTGCATGCTGTGCATACCCCTGGGACAGCAGGGACCTGAGGGGCTGTCAGCCTGTGTCTGCACAACTGGCTCTTCTAAATGCCTCATCTTACAGGTGTGATAATGGAAGCATCCCTCACCAAGAAGACTGGCCCTCTCACAGGCTGAGGTGAAAACTGAGACATTGTGATATTAGTCCTGTCCATTGCTGCCCCTTGCTAGGACAGCCTGATGGCTGGAGACCTGCAGTTGGGGATCAGCCCCAGGCGCTGCCCTCCCTTTGGGGATAGCCTGGTACCTCCTGCCCTGCCGTGGTAAAAAGCAAGGAGATGATGCATGGCTGCAATCTGGTGATCAGAGGATCCCTTGCTTCCCAGACCGTATCTGTGTTATACAGAGCATCAGATGTGACCAGCAGTGCTCCTGAGAGCAGGCACTAACACTCGGTACTTCGAATGAGTGCCTGTGCTAGTGCTCTCTCTGAAGTGGGACTTCTGTTGTGGGTCAATGCCTCTCTGTTCCAGATAAAAGCTCCAGCAAGATACGGAGATTAAGATATGCCTCCTGCTTGCTGGTGCAAGGAGGACCCCACCAGGCTGCGTGTGTAGCTTGAGCTGCCAAGTCTTCCAGAACACTATGGGAAGATTTGTTGGGTAGTGGTTGAATTCCACCCTGGGAAGAAGGTGTCAAAATTTTCAGTGTGGCATCTAAGTTTTAACATGCATATGTTTTACTGTCCTTTACCCCCCACTTCCCCAAACCAGTAACACTTCCGATATATAGGTATATACATTCTTCATATATTTCTACGTAGCATGGTGGGATGCTTTGCTGAGAACCGGGATAGTACAACCTGAGGAAAGCTTGTGTATACAGTGATACTACTTATAGTATTGAGTTTATATAATTACTGGATGGGCCTTGCAGTTTTATGCCATGAACACATACTCAAAGCTGAAGCCTGGATTTCACAAAGACTAACAAAAGTCACTGACTTCACATATGTTGTAAATAGTTACAATGGTTTCACCTTATATACATATATAGAAGTACTGGGTATATTTTATGTAGTCTAATGTTTTATCTTTTCTTTCACTAAGCATGAAAATAACACAGGCATACAGCAGGCAGACGAAAACCAGCTTGTGCCTTCCTCTATGGGGTAAGCTCTTCCTACGGGTCTTGCTTATCTGTATTTCTGAATTGGGAAAGGCACACAGCAGAACAGGAAATGATCTACATAATCATTAACTGCTTGACCATCTGGTTAGAACAAATTTAATGCACACTGCTTCCCAATTGGAGACTACTTGAAGACTACACCCATCAGGGCAATCTTCATGTTCTTGCAAAGCCTGATTGCAGATAGCCCAACAGCATTCCCCAAAGCTGGTCTTTCCCACATGCTGTAAGGCACCAGATGTGCACATTTCAGCTTTTTTTCTTTTTTTCATATGCATTTTTTTTAAAAAGCAAGTACAGTGTTGCAAAGCTACCGACAAAATGTCATGAAACCAGTTTCATTATGCCCATCTTCCCCTTCCCTTTTCCTGCAGATACAAAATTTCTGAAGACACATATGGAAGTTATCCTTTAAACACTTCGCTTCCATGTCCTCACTTCACAACCTTCTGGTAACCAAACCCTTTTAAAATCGTGTTTGCACTTCTAAGTTTGTGTTCATAATTTATGCCTTTTGCTTATGGCTTCCTTTATCTGATAAAGTTCAGTAACTGGATTCTCTATGCCTTGGGTCTGATTTGTCTTGTTTTCCTGCTGAAAATAAAGTAATGGTCTACCCACTATTTTTCATCCCAGCTTCCTTTCTCTTACCTTGTGAAAGACTTAGGCAAATTCAACAGGCTTTATATTCTGGCAAAATTGTACTTGATGGCAAAATTCCACTTAAAGTCCCATGACACTTTGGATACAGATTTCCCCTTATTCAGTTTATGAAAAATAAGTTAGAGAAGCCATGATTAAATGGCTTGAAATGTGTAATATGCTGAGGCTTACCTTTGGAAATATCATACTTGTAGCCTGTAGATTAGACTTCACATCTCATTACAAGAAAGTAAAGAGAAGGAGTGATTTAATTGCAGTCACGTTTATTTGCAGTTTCTATACACACTTTCTAGGTAATCAAACTTTTCCAACACATTTTTTGAGGGGTTCACAATGAAACTGTCACTGTTTTTACTAAAAATAAATACAAGACTTAAAGTGTTGCACAGCTCTAAAATATACAAAGGCTTGGATTTAATGTAAACTTTGAAAACATTTTACAAAAGAAACCATCTTTGCAACAATTTAAAAAGTTCGTATTTACAAATATTACAAAAATACAAAATGGATGCAAGTCCATAAACCATTGTCTTTTCTGCCAGCATGAACTGGTGCTAGTACCAAAATAGTTACACTGTAACCTTCTTATTTTATTTTATTTTTTAATTCTTTAAGTCATAACCTACAATATTTCTCTATCTGCCACCATTGCAGCAAATGCACTCAATCACTGACCTTTGGCAAAAGCAAATAATATGCTTTATTTGCTACAACTATTCCATGTCCTCTATGCTGCCAAAAAAAAAAAAAGGGGGGGGGGGGGGAAAATGCTATTTTTCAGAACACACAGCTGTTTTACTTCAGAAATTATTTCCATAACATCAGTGCAAACAACGGAAGTAAGTTGAAATGATGGTCCAGCAATTACCTGATACATGTACTGTACCCTGTCTCAAGGGGTGAGTGATGTCCTCTTCGCTCTACAGCTTGTCTCCGGTGCCTTAAAGGCACTCCTGCAGCGCTACAGGGGTTCCCGCCACTTCTCTTCCTCTGATTCACATTTGTTATGAACTCTAGGGTTTAGAATCTCTATTTGGGTTTCAATCTGCTAAACATAAACTAGGAAATTAAAAAAAAAATTAGAACTATATTTTAGTAGGAATGTTCTGTGGCCATTCTGTACATAAAGTATTGCCTCACTATTCTGGTTAAAAAAAAAAAAAAAGTGTATATTTATTTATGGTCTCTATGAAATTATTGATTGGAACATAAAAGTGGTATCATCAAAGGCAATCCAGCTGTATTCTCTTTACAGTTTTGAGTGACTATTTAATTCAGGAGTATTGAACATGTTCTAAAAGTGCTGCTGGTAAAATTTTGAATGAAAATAACTGAAGATGACAACCTAAGGATTTTTTACCCAATACGTAAGCTTCCTTTACTCATGTTCTCCAGAAACTGGTTTGTTATATGCAAATCATTCCCTCTTAAAACATTCTCATTCGTTCACTTAAGTTCAGACATATTCCCAGACTAAGCTACTAATCTGATTATCTTTTTGTTTCCAAAACCTTGCTCCCGTCACCTTTTTGAAAAGTATTTTGGACTTCTAGATTATTAATTTTGCAGCTCTTCAGCTGATAGACCACTCCTCTTCCCAACACACATACCACATACACAACAACTCTACCTTGCACACCGAACACAACCAGGCTACACAGGAGGACAGTAGGAAACCCTGAATGATATAGTTCTTATGATAAGCACTAGGCAAAATCAGATGTGAACCTTATGGGGAATAACATTCAGGATTTGTTAAACCATTCTGACTTACTCAGACTCTTTAAAATCCTAACAGTTTTAGGTAGAACTTCCCTCTTTAAAACACACTCTGCCTGCTTTTAAAAACTCTCATCTTTATGCATTACATGATTAAAAGCAAAAAAAAAGGTAAAAACCGATTTCACACATCCTGCTTCCCTATCATTTACTTATGCTTAAAGCCAGCTTTTAATTGATTTTTTTAGTACCAAAGTACACTCTTTCTGCTATCCTATTCAACCTGTCTTACTGCACACCACATTCCTCCTCACACTGTTTTCTCTGCACTAACCTTTCCTCTATTCCAAACCTATCCTACGGTAACCAACACCAACTGCATCAATTTTGGACAAAGGGGCCTTGTTCTCCGAGTAGCATGGATGGGGCTCCATTGATGGAAACTGTGGTGGCCCAAAGGAGAATCAGACCTGTTGCTTTTATTCTGTTTAAAAATTAAAAGCATAAAGCAACTTACTGGTTAAGTCTTAAAAGTACATGTTCTTACAGTTTTAAGATGAGAAAATTCAAGTAACTTCAAGTAATTCAGCTTTTATTTCCCTGCCTTCTTTTGTACCAAAGCAGCTGCTTTGATTTGTCTCCTTTCCCACCCCACCCCAGCCCCAGACCCTGTTCCATGTTTCTGGTAAATCCAGACAAGATCCCAATTGTATTTGGCTGGCACAATGAACCAGAGCTTTCCTGTTCCCAGCTCAGCGATGAATATAAATAATGCATACACATACCTACTTCCCAGCTACGTTTTCACAGTGTCATTTTTGTAAATATTTAGGTAGCATGAATCTCATCAGCACAAAGAGAAAGCTTCACTGAAAACTCATCGCAGATATTTACTGATAAATCGAAAGCGCTTCTTGCATGCTTATAATTTGTTTCCTTTATGAACCAGAAACTACCGTGTTTAAAGATTATAGTTACCAGATTATGACTGTGTTATGTACCCCAATAGCCTAATAGGAATATGAAAGCTAAGTACCATTTCTTCTCACATCTATCGTCTCTGAAGTGATCCCTGCAAGAATAAAGGCCCAGGGGAGGCTGTGGGATGGGACCTTTGGGGCTCTGCATCAGACATGACTTTGTTCTGTCAGAAGCATGCTCTCCTTCCCTGCCAATCCTTATGGTAACCCTCCCAGCTCTGCTTTCCAGTTACCTTCTTCGGAGCTGCCTTAGAAAGACAAATGGTTACTGTAATCCCATCACAGTCAGCCTTTTAATTTCTTTAACTAAGGTGGATAGTTCCTCCTTTCCACTGCTCAATGTCATTCTTCAGGCTTGTTGCACTGAAAGTGGTTATTGGTGGCCACGTGAACTTTTTATGTTTGATATGAAAATGGGTATTCACAGAATACAGTTATTACATTTGATTTCTTTTGTCTTCTATAAACAAAGTTATTCTGCAGTAAATCATTTGCCACATCCACTTTTTGATAATTCTATTTACAATTTTTTATCAAAAATATGGTATTTACATATGTTTTGTTAATTTCTTCTAAATTTAGTTTCAGCTCATTTTAGTGTAGAAAAATACCAATCCTCAAGAGCGTTTTCTTTATTTATTTTTCTTTTTCCTCCCTAGGGAAGCACTACAGTGAGGGCTTTTTTTCTAGATGGGCACCTTCCGTGAAAACAAAAAACAACCCAAAGTCACTTTTAACTCTATGGAAAGTGTATAGCCTTGAAATCTATAGTGACAACAGAAATGAGAGTGGGATAAACCAAATGAAGCCAAAAGAAAACAGAACAGACATAGCATATCTTCCTCCTTTTAGAAAATGTAATGTAATAAATAGCTACAGCTGTAGTCCTCTGTTTCCCCAGCATCTTACGAACACAAACATATTTAAGAATCAATATTGCCCTGCGATTTTTTTTCTTTTCTTGTTTCTGACTACTACAGCACTGACCTCTTATATTCACACCCTTACAGATCCCGAGTGGTGTCGGCAGCCTGGCCCTGGCGTCGTGCAGCCTACGTTGAGCTCTGAGAAGACCTATCATCATGGGGACTTCCATCCGAGTTCTCTGTCTCTCCTTCGGAGATGGCCTGCATTGGTGTGTTGTACAGCCTGCAGCGCACACTGTACCGGCTGCTGCTGGCTGCTGGAGGCGCTCGCGAGCGTCCCACTCGTGAAGATGCCGACATGGGAAAGCTTTTGGAGGAGAATCCTTCTGCGTTGACCCTGGGGGAGCAGGGGGAGAGTGGGGACAATGCATCGGGGCTTGCCGCAGAGGAAGACTCCTCCAGGCTTTGGGGGACATCCACTGTCAGTTCTCCAGGAGACTTGGGCAAAATAGGACTTTTCAGAATTTCCGTGGCGGACATCCTGTAGCTGGAGTCGGATCGGCTGCCCTTTTTAAGGAGCAGTAGTTTAAACTCCTCATTGGATGTATTGGACTTTTTGGCGTTCCTGTATATGAGCCCAGGGGACCTCTGACTGCTAATGGGAGTGCTCACACTGCCGGTTGGTGGCACATTGCTGGCAGGCAGTGTGCTGCTGGAGGGGGGCTGGCTGCTAGTCCCAGATGACGCTCTCAATCTGTTTCTTACAGAAAGGTCTCCAGAATCCTTTCGCCCAAGAACTTTCCTTTTTGATCTGTAAAATCAAAATGACAATGCATGCAGAGTCTTAGGTAATAATAGTACTCAGCATAACCTACTCAGTATAAAAAATATGTAATTTCAGTTGTGATCACAAATTTTAGCTGAATACAAAATACTCTAAGCTTTCAGCCTTATGAATGATGCTTTCTCATCATTCTCACTACAATGACTCACTCAGCAGAACAGAGCTGGTAGGCAGAAGACAGGAACCATTGTGGATATTTTAGTTTGGAGACACATATGTTTGTTAGAATGGCCTGATGTTGCTCTCTGTTAAGCATAGAATCATAGAATAGTTAGGGTTGGAAAGGACCTTAAGATCATCAAGTTCCAACCCCCCTGCCATGGGCAGGGACACCTCACTCTAAACCATATCACCCAAGGCCTCGTCCAACCTGGCCTTGAACACCGCCAGGGATGGAGCATTCATGACCTCCCTGGGCAACCTATTCCAGTGCCTCACCACCCTAACAGGAAAGAATTTCCTCCTTATATCCAATCTAAACTTCCCCTCTTTAAGTTTGAACCCATTACCCCTTGTCCTATCACTACAATCCCTAATGAAGAGTCCCACCCCAACATCCCTATATGCCCCCTTCAGACACTGGAAGGCTGCTAGAAGGTCTCCACACAGCTTTCTCTTCTCCAGGCTGAACAGCCCCAGCTTTCTCAGCCTATCTTCATATGGGACATGCTCCAGTCCCCTGATCATCCTTGGAGTGCATACCAGACCATAATAAAGCATTTTTTTAAAAGCTGCCTTTTAGAAAACTAGACTAAATAAACTAAAAGAAGATAGTTTCAGGACAAGACTTCAACATGGAATAACCATCCTGGAGCTATCATTAATGGGCAACTATGCAGGGCTACATGTTACCATTTCCCATTACTGCAAGCTTAGGTCACCTGTGAATGACTGCAAACAGATCCTCAGTAGTGCGGGGTTTGTTTGGAGACACAAAGACATCCTCAGTGTCAGCCTGCGACTCCTCGCTCAGTGGAGATGTGATGGACTCATCACTTGGAGAAGATTCTTAAACAAGAGAAGTCACACAATCAGATTCTGCCGCACTTTGCAACAGCACCACCAGCGCAAGGCACCAGCTTGGCTCACAACTGTGTGGTCAATGCCACCATATAGACTTTATCCTCTGACCTAAACATTGTGTAGTTTGCATGCTGTGCCCATAGAGAGAGCACAGCTAGGGCCTGAATCTGGCATCTCCCGTTTACTGTACAGCTTCTCTGTACCCACTTCAGCTGAAATGCATCACAAGGGAGGAAATAAATACCAGAGAAATACGCTCTGAATACACTGAAAAGGCATAAAGTATCGTCAGGTTGGCTGGCCAGCTAACAGATCAGGAGGAGGTGGTGCTTAAACCTACAGAGTCAAGCCAATTTGCAACTCCAGCCTGCTCTTCAACTCCACTAATTGGGTATAAAGCAGAAAGAGTTCACAACTGACCTTTCAGTGAAGGCTTGTCCACACCGGCTGCCATCTCATCCATCCTGCCATCCTCAGAGGCACTTTTGGTTGGGATACCTGACTCAGTATCATTTTCCTGCTTACAGCGCACTTCACTGAGTGAATTCACAGCTGCCATCTCTGCTTCACAGCTGATATTCCCAGGCACATGTTGGCTTATATAGGATTGATGCTTAAGCTGTCCACTGATGGCTGTTCTCTCGTCCTGAGCCAGGCTTTCACCCACAGGCCCAGCTTCCAGTCTCCCCTCACTGCCTGCAGAGAGCTCTTGTTGTGCCTGCACTTGCTGAAGGGCATGCTCTGTTTCTGCTCCCTGGCCAGGCTTCTTTGCATCATCATTAATTGTGGGGACAGCTGACCCCTTCTGAAACCCATCCACAGAGACAGCACACATCTGATTCAGAGTGCTTTCTGGCAAGCGCTCAGCGGCTGGGTGTGTTTGGTCCTTCCCGGGTTTGATTTCAAACAGGCTCGTGCTTGATGAAGATACAGCTTCTCGCTCACAGCTACTCTGCCCACTGAAAGAGGAGCTTTTCTCAAAAGGTGGCTTTCCGGGGCCCACTTCTGCTGGGGAAGTGTCAATGTACAACGCCATGGACTCTTCTGTGGAGTACTGGCGCGATACTGGTTTCTTAGCTAACAGTGGCCTCATTTTGCCTGGAGAAATGTCAGTCGCCATCAAGCTGGTCTCCTGTATGCAGAGCAGGTCTGGGGCACTGCCTTTCTGTTTGCCTCCTTCAGGCTTGTTGACTGCCCGGAGGTGGACAGACTTGAGAACAGAAGGCGTGATGGCGAGGGCAGAGGGAGGGCTGGGATGCAGGGCTTCCCCGACTGCGCTCTGCTTGCTGTGGCTGAAGGTATGCAGCTGGTGCCTGTGAGCGAAGGGCTTGCTCAAGACATTGTGAAGAGCACTTAGGTCGAGATGAGTAGGAGGTATAATTGGAAGTTCGAGGTCTTTGCTCACCGAGGCAGTGCTGTCTTTCAAGAGCGGCTGCTGCAGCGATGACTTCCTCTCTGGTACTTTTGGCTTCCTCTTGCTACCCCCTGGAGACAAGGGTCCCGAGAAGAAAGCAGTTGGAAAAGAGGAGGTGGGTGTCTCTGACTGGCTGGAGTACCCACTGGAGGGTGAGGCTAACCCTGCCAGCTTCTCAGGAGAGGCCAGTTTAAACTCGTTATCAACAGAGGGGAGGGATGGGGTGGTGGCTCGTGACCCAGACTGGGACGTCTGGGATTCGGAGCTCTCTGGTGACTTGATGCACTCTATGACTGTAGTACCCGTAGCAGTGCTCGAATTGGACAAGGACCTGTAAGGATCACTGGATTTCAAGTCGTTTAGAAGCCAGAGGTCTGCATAGTGAGGTTGTTCAGCACCTTCGTCTTTAAAGGAGGGGATATCGGCTGTGTCGAATGGAGTGTCCTTTAACCCGCTGTCACCCTGGTTTGCCCAGGGGAGCTCCTGCTTGGCTATCAGGTTGGGACCTTCCACTTGGGAAGGTGTGTTTGAAAACTCAAGGGGCAGCTTCATCTCCCTGGCCGTATGAGAGATGTGCTGCCCGCCGCCGATCTTTGGTTCTTTCTTGTCAGGAAAGTCAGTGCTGTCCTCCGATTTCCTCAAAGACGAACTGCGTTTTGGTGGGGCTGGCTTTGCCTTTGGTTTCTTCAGTGAGATGCTCTGCCGTCCCTGCCTCCTGAGGCTCACACACTCCTGCCAGGTGCAGTCAGCTAGGCTGGAGGTCATGCTCCCAATCTGGCCACTCTCAGAACCTGGGGCTGCATAGTTGCAAATATAACTTTTATTACCCTTGAGACCGCAGTCAAAGTGCATGGAGGTATAGTATCCTTCAGTATCCACAGAAAAGTGTGAGCTAGTGTCTGCCTTGTCAGAAGGGCTCTTTTCAAGGAAGCTGTCATAGGTAGCCATGCTGGTGAAGCTGGGGCATCCCAGGCTGTCTGCCTTCGGGCGCTCGGGACTGAAGTCCTGGCGACAAGAGGCATCGTGGTGATGGTGCAGGTAGTTCCACTCACTGTCACTGGTGTTGCTGTTGTTGGCGTCATCCAGTAAATCCGCCACCGTGGAGGTGAAGGAGCTCGCCCTGTGGCCCCTGACCTTGTCCATGTGATCACCAAACTGCTCCGTGAGGAAGACGCTGGAGTCCTCATTGGCATTAGGAGCAGTGTTGAGCGACAGCTCAGAGTCACAGTGTGAAGAACCTGTCAGTGGAGGAGAGGCAGCAGGAGGAATGGTTTCAGACGTCTGGGAGGGACATGTGGAGCTGCTCCCACTCCAGTTGCCACTGGAGGACTGATGGTCATCTTTCTGGTCCATGTGGCTGCTGAGCAGGACTCCTGCCGTGGAGATAGAGTGAATGGGGCTCCCAAAAGTGTCCGAGTTGGATGAAATCTCGCAGCTGCCCGAATCAGCCATCCTTGATAGCCGTGATCTCCCCCTCTCGCCGACACTGTGTTCAGGGCTGTGCAGATGCTGAGGACAAGTTAAACCAATGGGCTGGCACTCTTGTGAACCCTGCTTACTCAAGACCTCCTTCCCCTTTTTCAGGATCCTTTCCTGGCCAGCTAGGAAGAGCTCTGCTTCATACCCTGCATTCTTGGTGGTGGCATCCTGATGGCCCTCACTGGCCCGGGCGCCCTCGCGAGGAAGGCTCCTTGAGCGGATGCGGTTGCTTACAGTGGCAGCGAAGACGGCATCCCCGTTGTCTGCCAGCACCAAGATGTTGCCAGCAGAGTGGGAGAGGGAAGCGACAACACTCTGTCCCCTCTGAGCACGGATCCGTCGCCGGGAGGGAGCAGCTATCAGGATTTCTTCTGTCTGGCACTCCGAGTCCCGGGTCCCTGACCTCCTGTTGCTGGAGCCAGGAAAGTCTGGGTTTGTGTGCACAATCACATTGCGCTCTCTTGCCACTGGTGACTCATCTGAATCTAGGACACATGGAAAGCCGGGTGAGTGGGAGACAGATCCACTTTTCCTAGCAGAGATGACCCACAGAGCAACCCAAGGAGCATTATCTGCTGTATTCTTTCTTTATTAATCTTGCTGTGCACTGGACCAAATTGAACTTGGCTATGAGAGTATATAAAGCGAGACCTCATCCCAGTGAGGTGAGGAAATTAGCCTAGTTCTGCAATGTGATCTCTGTTCTCCTATTTCTGCAATGTGATCTCACAAAGAGCTGATCTTGCTGTGGTAAATTTTAAGATAAATATTAAGTTTTCAGCTTTTGTCACTCTATCTCAACAAGTTAAGGACAGTTGTCAGGAGTGGCTGCCAGAAAAACACTCCGTCAGCTTCTAAAAATAATTCTATTTTGACTACCTGTCTGTTCAGAATTTCCATTATCTGCTTCTTTATTACCAAGAATATTTGCAAGGCAACAGGATCTTTCTTTCATAGGTTCTCTGGTTGCTTATTCCCTATGATAAACACATTCCTTCTGCTTCCCATCAAGTTTCACAGCAACGGACTGAGATACCAGAGCCATCTTCAGGTGCAGATGTACATTAAGAAATAATGATCCCATTAGGTTTGTTTTGGGTTAATACCAACTTTGAACTGGATTTGCCCTCAACGGAGCTGCTCCTAAATTACATGGCACAAGAGGTGAGGTAAGACACTCAATTTCAAGCAAATATCCAAGGTAATAAAGAAGGAAAGGAAGGAATTGAGGATGAGTGTGATACATAAAAGGAACATTTAGCAAAGTTTCCTGCAGGGTCCCAGCAGCTGTCTCTAATGCGAATATCCAAGTGCTCATCTGAGTGAGTTATCTGTCTGTTGTGACAGCTCATCATCACTTTGCTGAGCAACATCTGTCAGTTCTTTACTTAAGATCCCCTCAAGCAAGAAAAAACTTTCACTTAATCTAGTTACTTTTTATGCACATAACTATGGGTTCATAACAGAAATAACATGGAAAAATAAAAGAACTGATTAACATTTACACAATAAGAGCTGAACATGTACATCTATATTACTCAGTAAGGCCCCTGGTCCGTCAAGGCCATATGGAGTAATATAGCTTTGCTTACTGTAGTAAATAAAAAAAACAAACCACATAATTCCCAAACTCCACAAGCATTTCAAGGTTTCGTTTCTTTGGAAGGATGGCTACCAGATCATATCCCTGTAATTTAAGTTGGTTAGAAAGCTATCTACGGAAGATTTGTATTTATACTACACCTATTTCTTGTTGCACTCTTCTGGGGATGCCAGAGATGGTTTTCCTCCTCCTCAACTTTCGTCTCCGCTGTAGTACAGATTGTGAATGAACAAGAGAGCAGCGTATACTAGCCTCTCTGTCAAAACCAACTCCTGCAACCCATAAATAGGTCTCATTAGCCTTTAGAAATAGTAAACAAATTTTCATGGCTGGAACACAGTGGAGGTATGTGAGCTTGGATTAGCCTGTGAATAAACATAAGGGAGCCCTTATGTAGCTCTTACGTAAATTATATCACAGTATATCACAGTTTTACATCTAATTCCAGCTCCCCCTCAGCAGCCTGGTCTGCCAAAAATAACAGAAGGCGTAAAAAATATAAGAAAAAGAAAAAAAAGGGAAAAGAAAAGAAAATCAGAAAGAAAAGTAGAGTTGAGAGCTCTTTGTTACCGGGCATCTTTCTTAACAGCTATTTATCCATCTGTCATAGGGACAATGACAGTAACATGTCTGCAAAGTGTAATCTGTTCAGCTACGGCCTGACTTATTTTATGCAACTAAGCATCAGAAAACAATTTAAGGTTTTAACACCATATTGCAGTAGCTGGGCACTTCTTAGGAGACCAATATGCCAAGGGGGCTAACATTTTTTTAAAGGAGACAGCTAAAATGGGGCCGAGTCCCTGTGCAAGTTTAGAGAGCATTCTTCATGACAGTGACACATGGCAAAAGGGTGACATAAAGAAGCAGCTGCTATTTATTTGCATACATCAGGAAGTGGCCTGATTTTCACAAGTGCTCAGCACACAGTGGGATGTGTGGGAGTCCACTCTGGGAATCAGCTCATACAGTCAATCAAGATCCTCAGTTTGGATTTAGAAGCCCAAGTTCACCAGCACATTTATTTATGACCACAGATACACAGAATAGGCCAGAATTCCTCATTCCCTTTATGTTTCCATGACATTAGCACAAGGAAGTGTCTTTCACTTTGTTTTTTACACAGTGTTGTCAAAACAGAATTAAAAGGAGGCCCGGCCCGCTAGGAAATGAGCACCAATCTGCACAACTGGCTTTTTGCACAACCGTACACTTACGCTCTCTAAAATTGACATGGAACAGACTGGAAAAAATGTGCCAGGTCCATAAAAACACTTAACATAAGGATCGCTGGTACAGTGGTTTGTAATCTTAAGAAAAACGAACAAACTAAACCAAACAGAAGGAAAAAAAAATCCTGATAAGAAGCTCTATTTTAATAGCGTATAATTATAGAAAACATAATTATACACAGACACACACGTACATATTACATTACATAACAATGTAAAACATTAAAAAGTAACTTTCTTGTAAAAGTTCTTCTTGAAATCTACTACAGTGAAATAGAGGCTTCAGACAGATGTCCTGTAACCACCAATGCCCCTGGAATAAGCAGAGGAAGAACTTTCTTTAATATGGAACAAAAGTGCTGTAAACTCCAACAACAGTCATTTTCAAAAAAGTGAACATTTCTCAGGGTTGGGAGAAGCTCAAAAAACAAACAACAACAACAAAAAAAACCAAACCAGAGAACTGAAAGCAAACTCTTTGAAATGAAAAATCAATCAGCATCATTGCTGGTTTTCCAGCAACTGTGAGTTAGCCAAACATGCTCTGTGCACCAGATGCACGGGGGTAATCTCCAAGAGGCAAGTGGAAGAGGGTATATTCTCCCCGTGACGCATACAAATTATTCCCATTAGTGCTAATGAGAATTATACACATAAACATCCAGAAGATTACATACCATTCTTGATCTGTAAAACTGATCAGTGGAAATTTGGTTCCAATGTATGGCAGGTGGAGTCTAGGCAAAAATGGCTATTACTGGAAAAGTTAACATCGGTCCCAGACCTAACTCGTCTCTGAACTGAATCAGGTGACGTTAGCCACATTAGAAAGCCTAAACCAGTAAGGGTCCTATATTGAATCTAGAAAGGGCATCAGTTTAACAGCATCTACCTCATGGAAACATGCCACACTATCTATGGCTTTCCATGGACATTAAACAGTGGCAGTGCCCAAGCTGCAACCTCAACCAGCTGGCTCCCAACCTCCAGCCTGGCAGGGTCTATGCAAGCTCTGACAGCCAGTCACCTTTCCTCCTGTGGAATTCCAGCCAGACAGAAGCACCATCCTGGTGGCAGTGACACCGCTCCTGGCTGCCACCTCCCCAGGTAAGAAGAGCCGGTGGCACGGTGCAGTGTGCCCTCTGCTGCTGGGGTGGAGGGGAACAGGGACCGTGTTGCCAACACCAGGAGGATTTATACAGCTGATGGTGGAGCTGACGGGGACTTGTCACTGTGACACTGTAGGATAGGCATGCTTCAAGCTCAAAAGCCCAGAGCCCCTCAGCTGGGGGCTGAACCTGCACTGTGAGCATACCCTCCCCAGCACCATGGTGAACCCTGCAGCCTGTCTTGCAGGAAGGTTGAGCACCACTGGTAGACACAGGAAATGGGGGGTGAGGGGCTGTGGCCTCTCCCCCAAGCCCCCGGATACTGGGAAAATAGAATTAGAGATATTTTCTCTGGGGAATGAAGGCTAACTGAATACTGCTTCCTTTTTTTTTTTTCTTATTGCCTATGTTCAAGTCTATAACCATGAAAGTCATCCCACTTTATGCTCTTACATTAATCAACACTTGGTGCAAAATATTATTGAGGAAAACTCAGACCAACTTTATGTTTACCATAGCCTTCTGGAAGGAGAGAAAGAGAAAGAGAAAAACAGCCTGATTTTTGATTCTGGAAATAAGTCATCTGTCACATTTAGTAAGTAAAATAGCTGCTAATTCTATAAACAAATTGTCCTTCAAATAAATCTAGTCAAATATAGCCAAATGTTATAGAAATAAAAGAAAATGCCATTACTATACCTTCAGCATAGCTGCATGTAAAGAGATCTCAGAGCGATGGTTTGCATGCTACACAGTCATGCCTCGCATGTTTTAAGCACTGCAAATAGTAGCCTATATTCTCTAGTTTTTCTTCTCCTGCTACACATGATAATCATATGATTAATTTCGGTGGCTTTCTGCATGATTTCAGTCAGCTACATTGAAAAAGTTATTTGAGGTCTTTGTAAATACAGACTGTAGGTTATGTACACAACAAAAATACATTGTTTATACAGGGAACCAGTGTTACGTTATACTCTATAACATGACTACAAAAATGTGGACCAAATTAATCCTAGATGGGGCTTCAGTGACTCCAGTGGTCACGCATGAGGGATGAATTTAGCCCACTGACTTCCAGAAACTAAATCTTCAAGCTAGGGTCTTTGCCCTAGACTGCACAGTTGTGTGAGTTCAAATAAATTAAACAAAATAAGTACTTGACCTCCCTTGAACCATGCAATAAATACAAGAAGAAATAGAAGAGATTTGTACCAGTGACATTGATGGGGATAATGCAAGAAGAAATCACTTGGGCATCTTGTTTCATTTTCTCCTCTGGAGTTGGGAGAGGTAGTGCTTTACTCCAATTGGTTTGTTTATCCAGTGTAGAAGGGATATTGTGTATTGGATTTTTCGGCCTCTGCCCTAACATGACATCTGTATCTTCGTCCTCTGGTGGATGGGACTGCAAATGAATACATTCAAAATCAGTGTTCCCACTCAGGCACACAAAGCTAATTTTGAAAGAAAGTAGATACACACATCAGAAATCAATTACAGGGATGCAAGGAAGAATTGTTCTAGGTAAGTCACACAGCGCAAGCTAGTCTCCAATGGAAAAGTAACAACCTGCTAATAGGATTAAAATACCTCAACATACTGGAACTCAGCATATTTACAGGACATTTACAGGACATCTCCTCCGTCAGAAGGGCATGTCCTGCATCCATGGGTAGCCCTTGCAAACATGCCCTCGATTACCATCAGCATTAGACACATGGGTCCTCATTTGCATCTGCAACCTTTTGAACACCTGAGTCTGCTGTTTACTAGTGAGGACTGGTTCCACAGAACCGTTCATTTGAGGACAAGCATCAGAAGGCCCAAAGTTGTAACGGAGGCACCTCTGTACTTCAGAAAACCATTTGCATTTCATTTTTACAAACTCAGACCATGAGCAGACCAAAGTTACAGCCACCCAGCAGCTGTGCGTGGGAAGCAGCAGGCATTAACAGTACCACGGCAGGGGGACAGTGGCCAAAGAGGAGTAGCCACCACCAGAAGAAGTTCAGAGGGTTATTTAGAAACCATGCACATTTTTACAGCATGATATGAGAAGTGCTAGATATGGAAGATAAAGAAACAGAGAAAAAAAGTAAACTGCATAGAAGAAACACAGATGGTTTGTTTTCTTTTAGAAGAAATAACAAATCCCCCAACACCACCATGTCCTTCAAAGCCACGATCGTTTCATCTAAACTAACCATCAGAAATAAATTAAGCACAATTTCACGTGGTGCTGGCTACCAGCTTGGGTTTGGGGGCCTCTTTGTTTGCAAAAAAAGTTTTTGTTTAAATTCGAAGGGATGGAGGGGAGAAACACTTACCTTTTTCTGCCTAATTTCCCTCCCTCTTTCCATTAATACATTCTTCTATAAGCTGTGATAACTCTTCGAGCAGTCCAGGACGTCCATCTGCCTCTCAGATTTTAAAAATGAAGCACAATTCCTTTCAGGCCAGCTTTCTCTTCAGTCCTGAATTCCCAGCTGCTTAACTACCAGCCTTCCCCCTCACGCCTGCTGTTTACACTTCATTTGCCAGTTTTAGTTTCGGTAGCAAACATGGTGAAGATAAAATATTACTCCCCAGCCCCTTGGCAGGGCGTTGAGGAGGCGGGTGTTGAACACCGCAGGATCGCGCCTGGGCTGCCATTGTACTTCTGTCATTCCTCCGCCCAGGCTCCTCACAAATCCTGATGGAATTAACCAACTCAGGCTTGCCAAACAGCATTTATGCCCCAGCCCCAAAAGCGTTTAAGATCTTAACTCGGCAGCTACTATTTAAACTGTTGGAGGGCACCTACTTACCTTGCCAGTGTCACCTCCTGCAGCACCCCTAGACCTGAGACAACGCACGTTTCCTCCTCCTCCCACCCACAGAAAACCCCCTTTTCCCACGTAGGATTTCAGTCGAACATCACATCCTTCTTTCTGCCTGCAGCTTTTGTGCCGAACCTCGGCAGACGTGAATAGCTCATATAAACTTCAAGCACAAAAGACTTTGTTTCCTAGGTAACTTCCCCCCCCCAAAGTTCGTTGCAGGCATGCAAAAAAACCAACCCTTGCACACACGCACGGACACATGGACGGGGACACACACACACACACACACGCACATACACACACAGAGGCTGCATTTGTTGCCAGTCCCTCCCCTCGATGGCAATGAGGTACTGGATAAAGCAGGCAAAGTGACCCTAGCTGCCAGAGCTCCTCCTCTCCAAACAGTGGCATCACCACACGACCAGAGAATAAATACCCACCGTCATACTGGCATTGCCCGAATAATTTCTTACCATACATAAATAAGAAAAAAAAAAAGGGGGGGGGGGGGGGGTTTGGCAAAAACATCACAAGAGAATGAAATGCAATCACTAATGCTATTGAGTCTGTCCTGATTCAGGCCTTCTAAAGGTGGCGATAGGAGGAGGTGGTCCCTGTGGCCATAAGCCCCTGAAACCCATACAAGGTTAAGAATGAAAGAAGGGGGAAAGAAGAAAAGGTTATTATTGTGTCTTACTGACATGAGAAAAACAGAAAAGGCTTCTTTTAGCGCAGCAAAGTTAGTAAGTGAAAAGCAATTAAGAGGAAGGGTTAGGATCTGGGAGTAGAGTGAGACAGGGCTGTTAATTGAGGATTGCTTGTTTTTCCAGTACCTTTCTACTCCAGGGGGTCATGTGGCAACACTCAATTGGGGAGGGCGAGCGGGTGCTGTTAAACTATAAACGTGAAATGTAAAAAAAAAACAAAACAAAAAAAAAACAACAAAGAAAACAACAACAACAAAATTAAAAACATACTCAAGACATTTCTGGTAAAAGCACATCATTTCTGTCTGGATAAATCAGCATCAGAGGCAAAACAAGCTGAGATTTCCTCCCTGTTTCCTACGGGTGAGTTTGTTCCCCAGAACAGATCACTTCTCTGTGAAATGCAGTTCAAGCAACTGTGCCCATAGAGTGGTTTGGGTCCCTGTGAAGTCTGTGCTGATTTTGCCTGCTCAGACTAAAGAAAATTGCAGTGAAATTGGTTTAAACTCCTTGTACGGACATGCTTAAATTGTCCCAAGAATGTCTTGTATTGATTTGTTAACTCAAACTGTGCACTTCCTGGAGCTGAAGCAGTGCAGGGTACATATCCAATTACATTATAAATGATCTATTTCATAATATAAGGGAAATATTTTTGCACGACGTATGGAAGCAATGGATATAAATAATGCTGGTCCTGAGGGTGATTTATCAAATACATGGATTGTTAAGGTTTTCTGACATTATCATTACATCTCTAAGGTTGCAATCATTGTGTCAGGGTGACAATGGCAAATTGGCTTTTTGTTACTTTTTATAATGCTTGAAAGGACAAACAGTGATGCCCACAACACCCTGGGGTTCACTGAATCCCTCAACCTCCAAAATCGTCTTCTGGTAGAAACTATTGCAATGTCCTGTTTTCACAACCAAGGCATGAATGATTACTTCTTTTGAAATAGGAAATAAATAAAAAAGGGGGGGAGGGGGGATAAAGAAAACAGGTCTGTTGATCACAGTGGAAAGCTCTAGCACGTATTTCTCGTTGGGGTTTATTATATCCACTTGCATTAGTTAGCAGACTTGTCAAATAAAAGCCTCTGAAAATTTTTCCTCTCAGTCATTATCAGCACCAGTGCGATAGATGAACCACAAACATCAGTTAAAAAGACTGCATTTTATGGTCCTCCTGTCAAAAACAAAAAAAAAAAAAAGCTGTGGTGAGTCTCAAAAGGCCCAATTCTCTGTCTTGTCCAACACTCCTGCTTTGCCCTGGTTCCTTGTGCAGGACTAAAACCATGGGAAGCCTCCAGATAAGCTGCCCATAAGCCTTACTGGAGAGATGAGTGGGAAATTGAAAGAGGACTGTTTCCAGTTAACGTTTCCAGCAGGTTAGTTTCTACCCAGGTCAGTGCAAACAGCTCTTCTAAGTTGGGAAAAGTCCTTATCACAGGAAAAACACCACTGCTCAGGAAACAAAAGCTATGGAGGTACTGAATGCATCAACCAGTTCAGCCTACTCTTTGGATACCCAAGGATGATTTCAGTCTGGGTCCTCCAGCTGATTTTCCTGTCACCTGCCTTGAGCAGACTGACTGCAGTTAATGTGATCAGGATTTGAACTGAAATTCAGCTTCTCCATGGAAGGTATTAGAGGATCTCTGGGAGGGTTCAAACAGTGGGAGACAAATGCTGCTGAGGTGACAAGAGCTCAGGAGATGAAAATCTCTGCAATGTCCCACAAAGGCCTATCTACAATGGTCCTAATCAGCGCACAAGGAGAAGAGCACGTGAGGGATTTTCCACCCCAAGCTCCAAGCGTGGCTACATGCAGAAGCCACTCAGGGCCAAACCTCCCCAGGAAAAACAGTGGGACCTTGACTTCAGCCTAGGAGAGAATAGTGTGGGCTACAGCCAACACAAGCAATTTCTGGCTATCCATTTTTCTGTCCTCTTGGTGCAGGGCTTTCCTACCTCTCCCACATGCCGCTCTGCCTGATGCCTCCAAGAAACACCTATCCAGTTACATGTACCCCCAGGCACCATTTTATATGCCAAAGTCTCAGGTCCCTGTTTGAGCATGGCAGGACAAACTTCCTACGTAGGTTCCTACCGTGAAGAGACAGGACAAAAATGGAGGTGATCAGGAAAATTTCAGCTCCTGCTGTCACACTGCTGCTCCTGAAAAAGCCACTGCTACCTCACCAAAGGGTCTCAAGTTGACCTACTGCCCATTCCTGTGTGATGCCCATGGTGGGGCAACCAAGGAATGCTGGGGTACAGCAGTAGACTCAGCATTTCGACATCTCCAAACTGGGGAAGGGAGAGAGCTGCCATTCTGCAAATTTTCTCATTCACTCAGAAGACCAGAATATCTCTAAATGTCCAGAGTAAACACATAATTAAGCAAGAAATTATTATTATATACCCAGAGCTGTTCTGGTCTGATGGGCAAATCTGCAGCTAGGCAGTTTTTAAAGTGAATTTCTTTTGTGTGGGTGTGCTTGGCAAACAGCAATGGTGATAATCAATCTGTTAAATACAAAGCCAGAATACTTTAAATAGGCATTTTTCTTTAATGGGCTAAGTTTGCTTTGAAACCAAATTGGTGAGTAATTGCTCAAATTGGGATTTATTCTGCAATCACTGACAAATGTGAGCATCTTTATTTTCTGAGCTACCCCATCAACTTCACTTGCAGAGGTTTCTGTGCACTACAACAAAAAAGTCACATGTCTGAGTATGACCTAGTCCACAAGGCTTCCCCTATAGAGAAAGCGGCATTGTTGCAGAGCAATTCAGCTCTCTTTCATTCAGCATTTAACTCTGGGTGAGATGAAGCACCTCTAAACACTCTTCCCACTAATTTTACAAAGAGCTTAACATTACTTGCAGGTACAGTAACAAGACAAAAATGTCAGTTCAGCCCCTCTTCTGTTTTCCATCACTCAGTGCCTTGAGTTGCCACTGTTGTTTGGGATCTTCAAGATTTAAGGGAAGACTAGTGCAAGAAGTGTCAGCTTCATTAAAGGCATATACCTAGTCTGCCTTACCTATAGTGACAGCATTACAGGAGATACCTGGGCTTTCACAGTTAGTGCACAGGGCATACTGAACACAGTGCAATGGCAGAAGGAAAAACATAAACCCAAGAATAAAGAACTAGTTTTTCTCGAGGTAATTAAAGTTGTCTTGAGAATGCTAAAGCCTTGTCAAGAGCATTTATCCTCAACATGTTTGTCAAATTTAGGCATGGCTGAGTTGACTCCTTACCCCTCAGCTGTGTTTGACCATGCAGGCAAGCCATTGCCTCAGAGGAAATCTGGGTGGCCGAGTCCCAGCCCCCAGCAGCATAGAGCCAGTGCCAACACAGCCTTGATGAGGGCAGGAGATGACTAGCAGCACAGTACTATTGTCCAAAGGATTATTTTTGACTCCTGCCACCTAAACTTTGTAGCTAACAAAAAGCATAACAGATCAGTGTTATTTCTGACTTCAGGCTTCTATAGCACCAGGTGGGGGAAATCTCCTTCCCAGGATGACATTATGAATAAAGTGGATGATATTCACCCAAGCAGAGCATCTGCATTTAGCTTCAGCTTCTGCAAGCTTCATATATGGTCCAATTTCAGCAGCGAACAGAACATACGTACCGGATGCTTTCACATTATGTGGCAAAAATAACATGTATGTATTAATAGTACCTCCTGACTTCTTGTTTGAAAGCAATCATACATGTACTGGAAAGGTAACATGTAGAATAAGTGTGAACTAGTGTTTAATCCCACATTTCCCACATTCATGAGTTAAGTACTGACTCCTTCTGCAGCCCTGGGTGAAACCTCCATGTCTTCCTTTCTTTGCCTGTAAAAGTGAGGGCTTGCTGCTTCATTAACTCACATGAATTACAGAAAACAGTATTGATTTACGTGTTGGAAAAATTAAACATCTGGGAAAAGGAGAAGAAATGTTAATAAAAAGTTAGGAGCTTTCCAGTGTTTTCAGAGCACAGTTGACTATTTGACTATTTGATTAGGAATTAACATTTGTACCTATACAGCAATTTTCTTACCCAGTCAACTGACGCTGAAGATAATGGGAATATTTATGACCATGTTATATCTGCTGTAAAACACAGTCCTGCTCACCTGCCTGCTCCCAACGTTTATGCTTCCATATGTTTAATTCTGCTCAAGTTTTTGTTATATCTGCTTCTGGGTGTTTTCTCTTTTGGAGCATCACAAACGCGATCTGTTAAAGTACTGACAATCCTTTAATGATTAATGTACTGCTCCAATGTTTTGACAAGGTAAAGACAAAATGAAGACATGTTTTCTGACAGAAGTCATACCACACATGGCATTCCATCAGACAAAGGTACAAAACAATCATCCCACAATACAGGGTATTTGGTATTAGGCTCATGGCACAAACAGTGCAATACATACATACATATATATTAATTCATTCTGATGGATAATGCCAGGAAGGTTTTATTTCAAACAGCTACAGGCAGGATTTGGACACAGAAAGTGCAGAGCCCAACTTGTGCCTTAACTCAGTTATTTTATTTGAGTCTTCGTGTGTCTTCAGCACAAAACTGTGAAAGTCAGTACATTCAGTTGTGCTTCCTTTTGCTGTACAAAGCATCCTAAAGCAGACCACAGAGAATATCTTTTAACTGGCATGGAGTGAAATAAAATTACCCAGTGCATTATTTTCTCTTTCACATTTGCTCTAGCTGAGGTCTCAGCGACAGACAAAGCCTGGCTGGAAAACAACCTCCTCCTTCTTGTCCCTTAGATTTCTGCTCAGATTATAATTGTGAGAAAAACTGACACTGAACTTTGTGCAATTGTGAGTGTGATTTTCCAAATATTGAGTTCCCTGCTTCAACTCCCTTGTTTTATTATAACAGCTGTGCCATGAGAGGTTTGAGAAAGTGTGGTCCCATGACATTCTGAACTTGAACACTTGAGATTTTGGAGCCTGGCCAGATGGACTTGGAAAAAACAGAGAAATAAAAAACTATTTACAAAATGAAAGAGAAGGCTGAAATGCAGTTAGAATGACACAGCATCTTCACACTCAGCAACTGGCCTCAGCAGTGCTGCAGGCATGGTTGTCATGGGAACACATGTAAGGAACATTTCCCTCATTTTATCAAGTCCATAACTTCCCCATACTCTCCTCAGATTATCTGAGGTTTGTTTCATTTTGTTGTGTTTTTTGTGGTTTGTTGTTTTGTTTTTTTTTTCCCATTGGCAAAAATGCTTGAATGAATGATACGAATGTGTTTGGTTGTATGGTTCTTTTGTGTAGAGAGTGACTATGTATGCCAGAGTTTTTTCAGCTTTAAAAATTAATGACTAAGATGGATAGGAAAGTAAAATCATGTCTGCAAAACCAGGAGGAGTATGGAGAAATGGAATGTGGAAGCAATGCATACTGCTTCTCACAGTCTAAGAACTAGAAGTGAGGCATCAGGTTCGAAACAAACAAAAGGTACATTTTCATACAGATTGTTACAATTGTTACAGGATGCTGTTGAGTCCAAAGGTGTACATTTGCTAAACAAGCAAGCAAACAAACAAACAAACAAACAAACAAAAGTAGATTAAGCAAGTCTCAGAATCAAGGCAGACAGGTTCCTTGTTGGTTATTATTCTGTGTTTGACCTCTGGCTCAGGAGCTCTGCTCTGTAACCAATTTCTGTATGAAACTGGAAGGATAAATCATGGGATGATAAAATGCATAAACCATGCCCTGTTGTTATACTGCTTCCTGAAGGATCCCTTCTAGCCTCTGGGCTAACTGGACCTTTCATCAGACAAATCAGGGCAGTTCCTAACTGTTCCTACTAAAAGCTAACTTCAAACTTGTCTTTGCTGGGACACAAAAGATCGTATATAATTTCTAGTTCTCTACTTCTTCTCCATGAAAAAATGGTCTTGTGATGGAACAGTCTAAAATGATCCACCAGAACTATTTATACTGGCATTAGACACTTTGTGCTCGAATTCATTTGGTCTTTCTTGGAATTTGTGGGACTTTGGCATCTTCTTCCTTGTAACGATAGTAGTGTATAAAATGAGTCTTCATCTCTCGTGGTTGATTTTCTCTAGCACAATAGACAAGATCTTTGGAAAAGCTCATAGCCACCTAATTGGTAGTAATAAAAACAGCTGCCAAAAGGCACAAATACAGAATCTTTGGCTGGCCTTAGGCACGGGTGACCTGTTTTCAGTATCTTTCAGTAGTGATAGTTCTCACAGGTCACACAGTGGCAATCTGAACATTTCTCAAAACCAAGCCATTTATTTCAGTACCTTAATGTATGCATTTAACAGTCAGTTTGGAAAAGTCAGATCCTGTAACTTTTAAAAATTTACCAGCTTCTCATTGAGCCCTTTCCCAATTTAAAAGAAACAATTCCTTCCCCAATTCATAAGAAACACAGAAAGGGGCTTTTACTGTTGTTTAGTACTGCTTTCACCAGCATATTCCCAATGCATCAGGAAAGTGGAATACATGATGGACTACTATGCCATGAATAAAAATTAATGTGATATTTAACACCTTTAGCTCATTTATGAATGCAAGAGGACTGGAATCAGATATCAAACATTACCAACAGTCCCTGAAGTAGATATTCATTTGCAGATGTCAAAAAGCTTACACCAAAAAGGGCAACCTAGCCAATAACAGCATTCTCAACTTTCTCTCTTAATGGTATCGTTAAGTCATGAATGCTTGTGCACACCAATTAGCTGTTCATTGTTGCAGTGCCCTGTCAAAATCTCTTACTAATCTTCTTCCAGACAGAGCATTCATGTGCACTTTCATCTTACCTTATTTTCTCTGATTTTTAGAATTGCCCCATGAACAAGGAGTGCTCTCAGAAACAGGTCAAAGCACTTTGAAGTACCCTGGCCTTGGTGTATTTGGAATTACCAAAGCAGAATATTGCCAGTTCCCTTGAAATCAATAGGACTTCAGCCTCCAGCAGCTACTTTTTCCTTAGGGGAACACTGAACCTGGTCAGCTTCCAAACAAAGGTCCAATATGGGTGGCACTAAGCCTAACACTTTTCTTCTTGAAAAGAAAAAGGTGGACTTGCAGATAAAGCCAAGACATCTGCATTCAGCATGACTTAATTTTGCCAACTAACACAGGACTCAGAGGGTTGCTCACTATTTATTATTATTTTGTGCTCTACAGATGGAAGTAATGTCTAAAACACACTGGTTGTTTTCCAAACACAACAAAGATTCAGGCCTTTCACCCCTGAGTATGCAATTTCAAAAGGCATGCCTTGTTCCCCATCTGATAAGAGAACTCTGTGTCCAATAGACTGTCCAAACTATCATCTGTAACTTGTTCTGATCCACAGGACATGAGGTCACCTCTCCTCTACCTTTCAGTGACCCTACAACGGCACTTAGCTTTGATGATGACTTAGAAAGAAAAAACAGGTAAGGCTGTTTCTCCTTTCTGTCTTCCAGTACTTTTCTGTGCTTTTCTATCCCTTAACATCTCAGTATCTTCCTTCAGTTGAATCATAAGGTCTGCAAATTTAATCAGTTCAAAGACTGCAGTGATGGTGATGCTTAACTTGAAATTATGCAGATAAGCAGCCAAAAAGCCAGAATAGTCAAACTAATCAAAACATTGCCATGCATTTCATGCTTTCAAATGAGAAACAAAACTCTTCTTATGGACTGGCTAGCTGACATTTTGGTCCCTGGACAAGTACTTTCCACTGTGACACATTTACCACTACAGGATTCCAAATGGTTAATATAATGGATTAGGATAAATATACTTGCATTTTTAAGCTAAGTAAGTGCGATTAATAGCTACATACTTATAATGTGCTCATGGGGAGAGCATCTCTGTAGATGCCAATATACATGTAGCTGCAGATGCAGGACAGATCTATCCCTACACTGAAGGCTGGCATTAAGACTTGACTTAAAAGTCAAATCCAGGTCTGACCTGTGGAGTTTAAACTGGTTTGAGGAATGCAATGGCCACTATGGCACTTCCGTAAGTCAAGTCCTCAGAGCCACAGAGGTACCAATTTCCTGAAACCAGTGAGGATTATGAACCCAGTCAGAGTTAAATTTGTGGATCTGGTGCATTTCCTTTAACAATGATAAACACCATATTGTCCACCACGATTTGATTTCAAAACAGTGCAGCAGTGGCAAGTCAGCACAGACATACAGGACATACAAGACCAGCTCTTCAGCTGGAGTTCCCACTTGGCTGGCTGTAAGGACATACGTGACATGAAGCATTTGAAAAAAATGTATGGAGATGGATAGTGTAGAACAGGACTGTTGCCCATATACACATGGTGTTCCTTGTAGCTGAAGAAGTGCTGCTGAAGCTATCTGCACACGTGAGCCTCAAGGCAGCACTCAAAGACCTTGAGTTCATGGCTCCTGGCAATGCTAATGCTAAGGCTGAAATTACAGCACTTTCTGAAATTACAGGAGGGTTCTGGAAGTGCTACCTGAAGCAGGAGAGGAGAATGTGAATCACGGTGAGAAGTGTGAGAATGTGCTGGACAAAGGAGAAATATAAAAGGTTTCTCAATGGAAATGTCCATCCTGGTGCTGGCTGCTGTATGCTGTAACCTTTGTTATGCTGCCAACAGTCAGCTGTGCTGTACCTGCACAGGCTTGGGTAGGGGCACTTGTGAAGCACTCTCTGGCACATTTAGGTCCCATAATGCTAATAATGTGTTTGTGTGTGATAGCTGTAGTGGAAGACTTACTGGTAGCAAGTGTCGGTCCTTTATCGCTTGCCTCTTTTGACTGCAGATTGCAGGGAAGGGAGGAAAGGGGGGAGCCACCACAGCAATGGGGCCTTGCACTTTTTGCTCTCTCTTATCACCTCGGCTCCGGTGTTCTGTTTTGGGTGAGAAAGGAGACATGAGTCTTTCTGACTGTTAAAAACATATAAACAGCACAACAAAGACACAAACAGGACGTGGACTTCAAAGATGAAGCTCCTACTCTTCCACACTGACCAGTATCTATGATCCCGCAAGCATTTATTGGACATCCAAGCCTCTGTAAGAATAATGTTCATATAACACTCCCCTGCATGCACACTGGAGCTGAATTGTCCCCAGATGGGATTTACACACTTTTTCCCAAGTAACAAAGGAGCTACCTTCTAGGCACTTCGGATCCAAGTCCTGGTTCCCAATGGGAACCTGAAGCTCCTGGTGCCTTGAAACATCAAGATGTGGTAATGCTTGCACTCTACCCATATAAAATACACTGCTCTGAGGGGAAAGAAGGAAACAAAGCCCTAGTAGAGTATCCTTCCCTGACTGCAGGGCAGTGCCAAGCCCCGAGAATTAGCTGGAGATTATGAAGGTTGTTACAGCGGCAGCTCTGTGTCCCAGCACAAAGGAGATCACCCTGGAAAAGTCAAAACATCTCTTGGCATTCTCCGTGCAGACCTTTTCCAGCATGAGTCCCAGGTATCTGAAACCTTCCAAGTGAACGGGAGAATGATCATGGACTTCACATCTCTAACTTTAAGCGACAGTTAGGTAATTACTGTTTGCAAAGAGTGCTTCTGGAAGGAGATGACAGATTTCCCAGATGAACATAGCTATGATCCAGCCAACCATGTTTGCTGTTAGCACAGCGGTTTTCTAATCTAATGTTTAGTTTTAATTCTGTATAAACAGATAAAGAGAATTAAATCCTGATAGAAGAAATAACTGAGACACAATGAAAACTTTAGGGGAAATTTCAGATTATATTTTCTTGTCAGTATATACAGTTATTTGCAAAATAAGATAAATCAGGACGTGACAAGCTACCTGCACAGCTGCCGTTAAACGTGGAGGATGGGAAACTGCCAAAACTGAGATTCGTAACCTTAAAATGATGAGGCATTTTCTGACAGTTGCCTTCCCGTGCCGCTGTCAGGATTGCTCCTGCCCACAAGGTGGCAGGCAGAGATCAGCCTGGTCCTGGGACAACTGCAAAGCAGAGCAGCTGAAGAGCAGAAAAGCCAACTTCTCTATTGTAACACTACTGTCATTGCAATTCAGCTGTATCGCTCTCTGCAGTGCTATGAAGATGTACTGCACCCACAGTGTGTTCCTGAGCTAAAATCTGCGGAGAGGGTCAAATGTGGTAATTAACTGGGATATTTTATCCAGTTAGCAAATGCTTTGCAGATCCAAGTAATTGATTATTATTATAACCTGGTAACAATAATAAATGAGAAAGACAATGATAGCTGTTGGTGCAAAACACTTCCAATGCAGGATGCTGCTGCTGAAAATTTTGAGGGTGACCTGCATGGATTTTCTCCTTTCTTATGGCACAGAAGAAAGGCTTGTTTGCTTACTTTAACTTGCTTCCCGGTAAAGGATTTTCCCTTGGTTAGGTACCCAATGAAAAGTGACCTTTTCCCATCTTTTACCTTCCCTATAGTGTGCTGCTGTAGGACCATCCAGACATTTGCACCTAGCAAATTCCCTTCATGGCAGGGATCCAGGAGCCTCCTTATGATCTTGATTGCTTCTGCTTCCTTCCTGTGTGACATGATTTGGTTTTGAGGCTACAGGTTTCCAGTCTGTTAGGCAACATCAGGAGGTGTTCCCTGGACTGGGGAGGGGACATCTGCCTGACCCTTCCAAGTTGTTCAGGGCATCACCTGGCTTTCAGCTGCCACCCTTGAAGGATGCACGTCTCCCCTAGTGCAGACAACTTAGTCTCTTTGCAGACTCTAATACCATGGGGCTCCAGTTTCAGCCCTTTGGAAGCTAAATCTTATCTGTCCTGGAGCTGAGACATTGTTAAACATCTGTTTAGTGAAGGGAGACGGCCTTATTGAAACACTCAGTACCTCCATCCTTTTGGGGGTCAGTGCATGGATTTGCTCACATGATTGCACTTTCATAGGGAACATGTAAACGAAGAATGTAAAATGGAAAAGCAGAAAGTCCTTTTCAGCTCTCCTCCAGTAATCATAAACAAGCTTAAGAGGGCAAAAGCCTTTTTACTGCTAGAGTTACATCTTCAGCTTTATTTCTTAGACTGAGTACCTCAATCTCAGTGGAAACCAGTGCTCATAACCCAGTGGCTGTGCCTGAGCACCCTGCTGCTGCCTAAGGGGATTGTGGAGAGGTGTCATGAGCGTGGAGACAGAGTGTGTGCAAGCACCTACCTCTGCGCAAGGCCCGCAGATGCTGCTTGGCGTGGTGGTGCAGCTCCTCCACGCAAGGTGGCCTGGTGGAGGGGAGGAAGATGTTTCTTTGCTGATGCCAAGGTGCTCGGTAATAGACACTCAGTTTGCTCTCTGCATCCAGGTTGGAGACAGCTGTAGGATAAAAATGGAGTGCAAGGTAAGGCTCCTAGCCTCTCTTACATGAAACTAGCTAAAAGGCAAAGGATGTTACTTAGAACAGCATTGTCAAGAGCAAGCACTGGGGATATTACAGCACCTCTCCTCCCCCCAGATAACACTGGCCATTATCTTCTCTGTGTTTCCACACCACATTACACAAGTCAGCATTTAGAAAATGTGCTTTTGCCATATTGCAAATGGCTCTATTGAGGCAAGGAGGTGCAATGGTACTGTATTGGTCTTAAATATATGGACTAAAGGGATAATAATCTTATAGACAGCAAAATGAAAGCACAAAGAAGCTGTGCAACCTTCCCACAGTGACATTTTGAGCAAGGGCAGAGGGAGGAATGGGTCTTCCATTTACCGATTCTCCTGCCAATATGCTCTTTCACTACATCATGTTACACATGACTGATTTCTGACACAGGTTGCTAGCTCGTTCTCTTCCAGCACGTAATAATTGAGATTAACTGCCCGCCATGCTGAGCGACTTTAACCGTGACTTATCAAAAGATGTTGCCTTAATAGACGGGGACTTGTAAAGGACAGGAACACTTCAACTCCTCTACAGAGAAATCCCAGAGTTCTGCCTCTGAAAGTTTCATGAACTAAGTCCACTAAAGGTTTGAGAGAATTTCTCAGGAAACCTCAGCATACGCAGTAGTTAGCTTTCCAAGCACCAAAGCAGGAGAGGAGGGTCATACCAGCACTCTTCCCTAGCAAGATGCACAGAGCAGGCTTGTTCTCTCTGTGCTCAGCAGCCCACCTAATGCAGCACAGTGGGAGGCCATGCCAAAGAAAGAGGTTTGCAGCAGGATGTCCACAGCAGTGTGTTGTCTCCAGCCAAGGAGCTATCACATTTTGGGGCTCTCATGTATTTTCCATGTTTTTACACTCTCCGACCTGCAGGAGCAGTTGCCATTTTTCAACAAGGAGTCAGCGCAATCTGCAGAGAGCTGCCCTCTGTTGGGGATACTTTACTCTAATGCAAAACAACATTCACTTGGGCTGAAAGCATACCAGTGCTTTGTATAGAGAAAGGAACTGGGAAAGTACAGTAGGAGCAGAAGGAGGAAGCAGACACAAGAGAAGATACCTAGGAACTATTCTGCCATGTGCGGCATGCTGACAGATTTTATCTGTTTCTTTGCTGAAAAAAAAAGCACCTGTTCACAAAACCTTGTGGGTGTCATGATGGGAGTAGTGGTATAATATAGTGATAGACCTGCCGAAGATCAGGGTCTCAGGGCATCACCAAAGGGACTCTAAGCTCTGTGTCCAGTTGGCAGCCTTGCCTTGCTGCTCAGTGGATTTTTGCAGGTGAGGTTTCACTCAGTTTACAGCAAGTTTGCAGTGCCGCTCTGTGCAACTGGTCATGGCGTTACTGCAAGGAAAGGCACCAGGGTGAAGAAAAAAATGACTGAAAGTGCAGGAGAGTTGTAGGGTGTTTGTTCATGAAGAGGATTTACTGATTAAATCACTGACATTGTAATAGCATTATGTTGCCACATCACAAGCAGAGCTTTTGATGGCTTGTCTGTCTCACAACTGCATTAGGTGAATATTTCACTAGCACTATGACTATTTTACAGACTGGGTACTGAGACACAAAGCAACCTGCCCTGATCCTGTTCTGAGCCACGCTGCCTCCTTGGAAGTCTAGGACAAAAATCTGTGATAGTAATAATACTGCACCCATTCTTTCTGACACTGAGGACATGTGATATTCATGATCACAAATTGTACCCTGGAGGCTAATGAAACAGCAGGCACAAGCAGTTCCTTCCTACTTCCAGAAAAAAAGTCTGTCTAGACTGAAGCTCCAGTAGTTGCCTTTGACAAAGCTCAGTGAGTGAGTGGAAAGTTTTACCTACTCATGAAATGTTCAGGCATTTCATTGGACTAGAATAGATTTCCCTGCAAAGTTTAACTGGTAGGAAGCTCTTCTGGCTTTGGCAGCAGCGTTTTACAAATAAGAAGAGTAGGAGTTGGGTTAATATACTTTGTGTAAGACTTAAAAATGAAACCAAACTAATACAATTCTGCTACACACTTGCTGTTGTAGACACACTGCTGTTTGAAGATAAAATAGCATGACCTCTTAGCATCCAACAAGACTCCCTTAGCCAGCAAACCTGGCAGAGCTGTGCTTAGTGCTGTACCAGAAGAAAAATAAAACAGAAATACATTGCTTATCTTCAAATGATAGGGCACTAAGAAGCTTACAGTACCCTGTGCCATGGCTCCAGCCAGCATGCATCCATATCTTTTTGCCTTTCCCTGCAGGAGCTCTGATTTGCCGTCTCAAGGAATATGCCCCACTGACACCAAGAAAGCAGAAATCTTGCAGAATACACACTGAACTGATCAGTCCTTTAAAATACTTAAAAGCTGGAGTAGATTTTCCAGGAGGTCCAGAATAGAAACTTAAAGAGCTGGCAAAAGTTCTGTGAGGGGATGAAGGTTCTCAGCCTCCAGTGGGAGAGAAGCTCAGAGGGAGGGAGAAGCACTGAGTAGGGCAAAGGACAATGCTAGCCTAAGGAGAGAAAGTATAAACTCACCATGAATGCAATTAGGCTGGATGCTTGAAGAACAGCATCCCAACCTCAGAGCAGCAAAGCTGTAGAAAAGCCTCCTGGAAAGGGGAAGAAGGGGAAAAAAGCTAACCAGTAAGTGAGAGAGCCTGCACCCTTTCTGAAAGGGATTACCAGATACGATTGCCTACTGAAAGAGGGACCTGCTTCCATTTCAGTCCTTGCACACTGTCCTTTGCACTTGTCCTCCCATATCCTGTACATATTGCCTACGCTCCTGCAACAGCATCTTGCCTGGTCCTCGCTGTTTGGTCATGGGCCCTAGGGAGCTGGGCACCATTGCTGAGAGCTGAAGCCAGAGGCTACAACTAAAAAGCTTCCACTAAAAGATAAAAGCCAACCCTGTGATAGGGTAATTCAGCAGTCAAAGACCACTGGGGTGAAATCTAGAAGACCTGTGCAGTCAAAGATTCACCACAAGTTTCTGCTAAAAGCCTGGGTTAAATATTGAAACTCCCTATGCCTCTGTTCTGTAAAATAGGGATAAAGTATCTCTTTCAGCCAGCACTTCCTTTTACTCAGTCTTTTACACTGCAGGCTGTTTTTACAATGCTGAGCCTGTGCGTGGCTGTAGCCCCTGAGCATCATCATAATACACATAATAAATAAAGCAATACAGAAACTGTAAAGCCACAGTCTTTAAATCATTAACAGCTGGACACCACAGTGAATGAGAAAAAAAGCCCATACAGATACAGGGAATGCTGCATTTCAGGCATCAGCTATAGATTGCTAATGTATTTTTAGTGGGCGCTTTGATCTATTGAGAATATACAAGTGAATCATATAAACTATCATGTTCATTTCATTCCTGAGTTAAAGTAATTGTGTGGGGGGTTTTTTTGTCTTGTGGGATGACAAAATGACAAAAGACCATTTAAATGGATTCTCCATTACATTCTGTGGATCCATTAACATTGGCTGGTTTCCTGACAACCGATGTCAAACAGACATACACTAATGGCTATTCTCATGAGAAGATTTTTGAAGGTTTCCAAATAGCTGTTTTATCAAAGTTGATCATATTTATCATTTATAGACCCTTCTCAGCTTCACATCCTCTCATTCACTCTCCCTCCCTCCTTCAGCAAAGCAGAAAAAGGATTCTGCCATAGCAGAGCTGGATGCTTGAAGGTTGTGCGGCTTTAGTGCACTCAGGCATGGTTGTTCTAATAATAACACCACAAAGGCCAAGCAAGAAAGATTTCTGCTCTATTTATTTGATAGATCCAGGGGTTTCCCCCCCTCCAACTCCGTCTGCTTCTCTAGACACTTGCCTCCTCCCCTCCAGCTCCTTCTGTTTCTCAACTTCTTATTAGTTCTTTCTGTATTGTAATTGCTATCAGGTGCCAGGGAGGGGGAGACGGGGAGGGATGTGGAGGGTAGGTAGGTGGTGGGGGAGATCATTTCCTATGTTAAGCAGTTTGAAGAGAAAATACAATTTGGCATAAACTGTGAAAACGTGTGCAGCCTGGAGGGGATTTGAGTGGCAAGCAAAGAAGGTGCCTACATACTGAGGGACAGAGCCCAGAGCTGTCACACCCTGAGCTCCTGCTCAAGCAAACCCAAACCTGCAGCTGTTGAATCCTCATTAAAGTATCTGAAATTCAAAAGACAAATAAGCACAATTAAAAAGGATCAGACTAGCAAACAAGCCTATTCCAAGGCCCAATTACTCTTATGAGAGGCTCTAATGACACAGGCCCTTTGCAGGAGCTGCAAAGAGCTGGGGGCTGCACACCCAGCAAATCTCCACCACTCCTCCCTGCACAGGTGTGGGATGCTCTTGAAGGCTGCTGTGGCCAGCAGCACCATACCAGGCCCTGCTTGGGAAGCCCTTCTGATCCACTGTCAATGTGGCCGGCCTGTCATTTTTAGCAAATTACATTTTTTTTCCAGGCATTTTAGGTAAAAATTGAGACATTTTTCTTGTGATTCAATGTTGTAAGAAAGCTGTATGTTCACCCAGATTTGCATAAAGAGGCATATACCAGTAGCAGAGTTCAACTTGATCAAACTTCCATACCTCCTGCTCAGGTCAGCAGTGAGTTACTGCCTGCTAAATTCATGCGAAAATATCACAAGAGAATTAATTCTGAGAAAGACCAGATTATCTCAAAGACTAGGCAGTCTGGCAACACATCCAACTTTATCATGCATTTTAGTGCATAAATGTTTCATTGAGGCAAGTGCTGAGTCTGATGTGAATTTTATTTATAGCCCTGAATGTCTCTTATGTATGCTTCCCCCAGGTACTCGTGTCTCCACTATAACACCCAGGGGGCTTAAGCCTACAAGGCTGGTAAAAATCTACAGTCACTTCTCTGCTGTACATGTCCCACATGCATCAGCAAGCTCAGTACTTTCCAAGTGGCT